TTCAGACTCCTTGTCACATCGCACAAGTCCCTCCAGGATGTGTCTCTGCGGCCACCCTGTCATTCCTCAGCTGCTTCCCCACGACACGCTCTTGCAAGTGAGAACACGCACACACGCACATGCTCACACGCATACATACACGCTCACACACACGCTTACACATGCTCACAAACATACGCACTCTCGCACACACATGCTCTCCCACACTCACACACACGCACACACCCCTACACAAGTTTCAAGCCCATAATCCCCTGAGCCCGCCACGCGGATTCTCCCCTCCCCCTGGGCCTGCCCACTCCCAGTTCCCCCTCTGTCTTTCCCCATCTTGCAGGACGCAGCCCGAGTGGGACTTGCTCCAAGGGGCCTCCTGTCCTTCCAGGAAACCTCGTTCATTTTCTTTAGTGCCAGCGAGGGAACGTGCGGTTGCTTCATTTCCATCACTTACCGTCCCGTGTGACAGCGACGGGGTTGGATCCACAGCCTTTACTAGACGGAGGCTTCCTCTGAGGGCAGCCGAGGCTGACTCCTCTTCACGTGCCCGGCACACGGCAGAGCCTCCGCGCGTGTCCGAGGGCCTCGATGGATCAGAAGTGGGACCCAGGGAGATGGCACACCTCACGCCAAGGACAGAGACAGAAGGGTGGGTTGCAGCCAGGAGTCCAGTCCATCCAGACGCTTCGTGAAGATGGAACTCTTATCTTCACGTAACTACTTCAGACAAACACCCCACAGGAATGATGACTGGAGGGGACTGACACCAAACGTGAGGACACTTTCTAGAAATGCAGCTGGGGGAGGGGAAGGTGTCAGGATGATCCCATGAGTCAGTGGGGCCTAAAGTATCTTTCGACAAAGGCTATTTACCCACCCGTAGGGTAGGCGCTAGTCTCACAACCTATGAAAAAACAGGCGACTCACTGATGGGAGAGCTTAAGGCAGGGAATGAATTTGTGGCCAGTGGGCCAGAGTGAGGAGTTGTGTGACAGGTTACACGAAGAGGCAGCTTGGAGGGTGAGACAGGGACTGGGGTCGGGGCCTGAGGATGCTGTCCTCCGGACTGGCCGACCGGCAAGCTGGACAGGATAAGAAGCCTCTTTGCCTCTAGAATTTTAGAGTGGAAGAAATAGTAAAACAATGTACTTCAGCGTTTCTCATCCAGAGTGTCAGAATGCCCTGGGACTCCTGATCAAGTATGAGAAAGGGTAACGTCCACTACAAACTAGGGAGTGTGCTCCCCCCGGGCGATTGGATCACCAATGCTGCTGAATTGCGGTGTGTCCACCGTCGACCTGGATTCCAGCAAAAGAAACAGGAAAACCACAGGTTTAGCCCAGTTGCTTCCTTCTAAGAAGGAAGGAACTAAGGGCCAAACCCCACTGTTCCCCTCCTGCTGGGTCCCAGGGCTAAGTTAGGTCTCAGGGCTCCAGGTCTGCAGCCCGCGGTCCGCTCAGTCCTGTGGGCTGCTCTTAGCGCCACTATTGTTATACCCCGCAGATGTAACACGAACGACCCTGAACTTTAACAAAGTGCTAAAGGTTTGGGGTTTGGGATCCTGAAATTCCTTTAGGACCCATCTGCTTTCTGTGCTAATTTAATAACGTGAATAACAGTAATTGTTGTCTTTGTGTGCGTGCGTAATTATTATTGCTAGGGTAAAGATTTTAACCTACAGTACATCTAAAGCGGTGACCCTCAACTGAGGGCATTCTGCACCCTCCCACTCTCACCCACACCCCCGCGCACTTGCCAACGCCTGGAGACAGTTTTGATCGATGCAGCTTAGGGAAGAAGTACCACGGGGATCTAGTGGGCAGAGGCCAGGGACGCTGCTAACACCCCACAGGGCGCCGAAAGGACCCACAGCAAAGAACGATCCAGCCGCAAATGTCAGTCGTGCCCAGATTGAAAAACCCTCGTCGGAAACAAACACCTCGTCCTGAAACAGGGTTCTGTCTCCTTGGGGGCAAGTGGGTTCCGCAAGAGCGCCTCCTCTTCCTGGATAGACCCAACCCTTTGAGTAATCTTGGCCAGAGGAATGGAAAAGTTTTCCAAATAAATCCTCCCAAACTGTAGGCTCATTCCAAGGTGCGTAGGTGGGAGTGAAGCCACAGCCTGTTTTCAGGAACTAATCCCCAAACCGCCCAGAGGAACCAAACCAGCAGGAGAAACTGTCCTCCAGCGAAAGGTGGGGCTGCGAGGACCTGAAGGAGAGGGACCAGCTCTTCCAGCCTCAGAGAGCCTGGAGGAAGGTCCTGGCCCCAGTCCCGGGGAGGGGAGGGGCCGAGCTGGCGGTAGTAGCTGGATGGGGGCTTTGATCCAGTAGCTGTCACTTTGACAACATCTCCCCACTGTTGCCCCTCTCCCTGCCGTGACGTGGACGCTGAGATGACAGAGATGTTCAGATTCTGTTTACAGGGAAGCTATTGATAGAAAGTGGGTGATACTGTACACAGCACTGCTGCACACCCAGAGGTTCCCATACACTCGCCCCTTTGCCCATCAGCGTTCTTTTCCTTGGGTTTTGCAACTCCAGAAGTCAGGGACGGTGACAGTTCACCTGACAGAGCCCCTGGCAGAGTCCTGCTTGCATGCGTGCCGAGCGAGCGTGTGGTGACGGTGACGGTGACGATGAACAGAAATGCACCGCATTGCAGGTTCCTCTCCCACAGGGACAGGTCTCCCAGGTGGTAAGTTCATCATACATCAAGTTCCCCTTAGACCCTACTTCTTAAGGGAGAAGAAAGAGAAAAAAATGCTTGTTGCGTCTTGTCATTTTAACAAGAAGACAGAGTTCTAGGCTTCTTGCCTTTAAACAACCAAAAATTAGATGAGAGTCGCCCTTCAAACGTCAGAATGGCATTTAGCCCGACAGCTCTCTCCTTGTCATGCGCAGGGAGCTGCTCTAGTCAAACCTGTCGGCGTGGAGTCAGTATCTCAGCCTTGGGTCACTGTGTCAAAGCTTTGAGCAAGTTGGAGAGAGAGAAGCCGGCCTGGGTGTCCTCTGACACCGGGGGACACCCAGGTGTCCCTCCCCACCATCACGTCTGGAAGAGGAGGGAGCAAGCCTGACATGGGAAGGGCCCGGGAGGGACGCCTTCAAGTGACTGCTTTGGGGAGACCCTAACGCCTCTGCTGTGATGGGTTCAGAGACAGAACGAGGGGCCATCCACCCGGGGAGCTTCTGGGGCTCCAGGAGCACTGAGGCCTCGCTGGGATAGACTGGGATTGTGTGTCAGTTACCACTTTCCACGTGGACTCCTGACACAATCTGGGGCACGGACACTGGGTCCACTGCTGCCGAGGAAGCCACGATTGATGGAGATTCGCCAGCAGTCCAGGCAAAGGGTGATATTCCTTCGGCGCAGGGGGAGTACACACCTTCCCACCCTCTGACAGCCTCGCAGGATGGGAGAAGCAGCTCCCTGGGCCAGAGTTCAGGTGCCCCTGGGCCTTTGGCATCCACGGAGGCACCCGTGTTGCATCAGAACCGATGGTGCAGGGGAGAGTTGAGCTGAAAATGCAGAAGCTGTCTTTGCCACTTCCCCTGGGGTTCCAGACCCTCCCGACTGTTCTAGAGGCCCAGGCTCTGCACCTGCCTCCCGGGCAGGTACCCTGGCAGGTAACCTGGACGTTTCCCAGACCGATGCTCCGGCGCCTCCTGCCCCCCACGCACCCTGCAGGTGTGGCCACCTGAGTCTCTCTCCCCTGAGTAACTAGGGTGGAACGACAGCACAAACCCAGCCCAGCCCTGACATCAGGCAGCCGAGAGTCGCCTCGAGCCAACAGTCAGAGTCAGCGAGAATCATGAAAACGATAGAGGCAGCACAGTGAAGTGCTTTTTATTGGAAGCACGTGATTTATTTCATTATCCACATTTTAGGCCGTTTAACTTGTTTGTGGCTGCCAATAACTCGTGTGGTTTGGAGAATGACATCTAACGGATGCATGTAACAAATCCCTTACTTTGGACAAAACATAAAGGATACATGATATTTATCTGTAAAAATTGCCGCCACTTCTAAATAAATGTTGGATTGTTATTTAAAGAACACTGTCAGGGGACTTCCCTGGTGGCGCAGTGGTTAAGAATCTGCCTGCCACTGCAGGGGACACAGGTTTGATCCCTGGTCTGGGAAGATCCCACATGCCACAGAGCAACTAAGCCCGTGCACCACAACTACCAAGCCTGAGCTCTAGAGCCCACGAGCCACAACTTCTGAAGCCTGTGTGCCACAACTGCTGAGCCCATGCGCCTCAACTACTGAAGCCCGCGTGCTATAGGGTCTGTGTGCCACAACTGCTGAGCCCGCATACTGCAGCTTCGGAAGCCTGCGTGCCTAGAGCCCGTGCTCTGCAACAAGAGAAGCCACCACAATGAGAAGCCCACACACCGCAACGAAGAGAAGCCACTGTTCGCCTCAACTGGAGAAAGCCCGCACGCAGCAACAAAGACCCAACACAGTCAAAAATAAATAAAATTAAAAAAAAATAAAGTGAAGAAAGAACATTGCCCAGGAAGGGTCCAAATTATCCTCGGGGCGCCTGTCTGTCTTGGTTCTGCCCTGCGGGCAGAGATCGGTGGAGACATCTCAAACTTTGGGAAAAAGTAGTTTATACCTCAGCTAAAGGAGGGCCTTTTCTCTTTCTGCTACTTGCAGGGTGGGGTTGGGAGGGGGGCTGAGAGGGGAGGAAGGGAGGGACTTCAAGCAAAGATCAGGGTCCTACAGAGAACAGACTTGTGGCTGCCAAGGGGGAGGGGAGTGGGGGAGGGATGGAGTGGGAGTTTAGGATTGGCAGACGTAAACTAGTATATACAGAATGGGTAAACAACAAGGCCCTACCATATAGCACAGGGAACTATATTCGATATCCTGGGATAAACCGTAATGGAAAAGAATATGAGAAAGAATGTATATGTATGAATCACTTTGCTGCACAGCAGAAATTAACACAACCTTGTAAATCAACTATACCCCAATTTAAAAACGATGGGGGTCCTTCCCTACCCGCTGGGGAGTCCATTTCCACAAGAATATGAGACGGGGAGCTTGGGGACACCCTCTCTGCGACTGAGGAACTCAAGTTTGCCATGCGAGAAGCCACTGGGCCAAGGCTGGCAGTGATTTCGGGGGAGACAGCACATCACTTTCAGGGTTGGCCTCTAAGAGCCGGCAGAGCCGTGACAGGATTTTCAATCTGGACACACCCGCTCCTCTCTGGGTTTGGGCTCAGATTCCACGGCCAAATCTGTGCCAAGTCTCCTGTGTTCAGACTCGGTAGGCGGTGGATGGAAGGCGTGGAGACCCCTCCTGAGAGCGACAGCGTGGGCCAGCGCCACCGGCTAGGGCCAGCCAGCCAGGGAGCAGCCCGCCCCGTCATGCCGAGGGAAGCCAGGCCTCCTCAGTGAGGGTTTTGTCTTCAGCAGGAAAACAGGAAAGGAGGCCATGGAGCCACCGTGCAAACTGCGGTCTCTGTGCTCCCCAGACCCCATCGCCTCTGTGGCCCTGAGCACCGCGCTCGGTGCTCTGGGCAGCAGAGCTCAGGTGAGGGCCACCTCCCCGGGGAACGCAGCTCTGAAGCCGGGCTCACAGCTGGGTGAGCGGATACTGGCTCTCTCCCGCCTTGCCTGCCAGCCGGGCCCCCTGAAGGCCGGCCACGTGCTTCTCAGAGGAGCCACCGCCGCTCCCTTAGATGACCCGTCCCATCACTGTCATGGTTCACTGTCCACGTGGTCCCGTCGGTCCAGGCACTGGTCCTGATGCAGGGATGGGAAGGGGAGCTGGTCTGCTTGGAATGAACCTGAGTCTCTCTGGGTGGCCAGTGACCTCTGGGAGATGGTCACTCTCCTGGTCAATGCCAAGGCCCTGGTTTCAGCCTGGAGTCTGAGTTACAGGTGGCCTGGCTGCCGTGGTGAAGGCCGGTGACAGAGTCCCCTCAGCTCAGTGCTCAGGGCATCTCCTGACACCTCCAGCGCCCCTGTCTTTCTGACACACCGCCTGACCTGCCCCAGGAGGGACTTAGCTGTGAAAACCTGCGTTTCTCCAGGGCCTAGAGTCAAAACTCACATACATTTGTCCCCAGCCTGGGCGGACGTCACCTTGAATGTTCTGAGATATCTTGGTTGTCAACCTCCTGAAGCGTAGGCTCTGTGTAGAGTTCCCCTTACGTCACGCAGAGCCCAGCCGTGTGGTTTGTGGCGACGGGGAGAGTACGTGACGGGGGAGATGGGCTTGGCGCCCAGGAGACCGAGCCCTGCTCCCCACCGTGTCCCGACCGCCAGGCTCACATGCGGACGGCGGGTGGGCAAGCGCCAGGTGGACTGTCCACCCTTGGGGGGCCTTCCCCCACCCCGCCTGCAGCATCCCCTGTGTCTCTAAGCCACGGCCCTGAGTGAGCTCCCCTCGGGGAGATACCCAAAGCTCTGCCTGCTTTGATGCGTGCACAGTCATTTCTGCCACCGCGTGGCCATGAGGCTTCTTCTGGGAACTGGTGTGGAGTCAAACATCTAGCGACCTGTCCACACGACGGCCAGTGTGGGGCCGCGGGCCAAAAGGAGCCTGAAAGTCCTTGCGAGCCTTTCCTGCCGCGGCCGGGAGGAATCCAAGCCCCTTCCCAGCCCCGCCCCGACTGAAGCCACTGTTGTCTCCTGGGTTCATCATCATCTGTTGCTGGGGGGGCTCGGAGGGACAAAGTGCCCTCCCATTGGGGCACATCCCACGCTCACTGGCAACATGACTGTCCTGCAGGGCACTTCCAAACCCGGGCCCTGACGGGCGCCCTGACCAGGAGGTATGTGGTCACCCGACTCTCGTGCCATCTATGCTGCCCCGGAGCCCACAGAGCTCCCTCTCCAGCCTTGGAGGGAGGGGCGTCTCAGCCGCCAGGCCAGCAGCTTCCAGATTTCCTGAGCCACGGCCATCCTGAGGAAGACATTGTGCATTGGAGGGCTGTCTACGCGCACACGCACACACACGCACACACACACACACACACGCTCACATTCACCCCACACACTCACACACATGCATACACACACATACATACACACGTACACACACTCACACACATGTACACACACTCACATTCACACACATGTGTACACACACTCACATTCACACACATACATTCATACACACACTCACACACACGCACTCACATTCACCCCCCACACACATGCATACCCTCACACACACACACACACGTACACATGCTCACACACATACACACACTCACACACACGTACACACACTCACATTCACCCACACTCACACATGTACACACTCATATTTGCACATACACATGCACACCACACACACGTACACACAACAATCAAATGTGCAATGTGTCCTTATAGTTCCTCTTTTATTTTGCCCACTTCCCAGTTTTTATTTAAAGCTGCTCACAACTATGCACCCGATTTCATGAGTCACTGACGGGTCACAGTCCACAGTGTGAAAAGCATGACTTGGGTCTCCCAGGACCACCAGGTAAAACTAGCCCGGGCCGTTCCCTAAACTCAGGTCCGACCGTGTCTCTGCTTCGAAGCAGCCTCTGGATGTCTCCCGGGAGCCTGTCGGAGACGCAGATCCTCAGGCCCCACCCGAGACCCGCTGACTCAGAATCTGCACTTTACCAAGGTCCCCAGGTGACTCCCACGCCATTAAAATCCAAGAGACACTGATTTAAACGCCTCTCCCAGCGGAGCCGGCAGGAATTTCACAACTCCGTGCTGGCGAAGCGCTGAAATCACCCCCGGGGAAACCAGCCGGGGCGGGGCTGCTCTCTAGTTTGTTTAAGGAGCAGTAGGAACACCGGCACCCAGGACCCCAACCTCTGCGGCAGGGTGGGCGTCACTGCTGGGAGCTGTGCGAGGGGAGTGGTCGCCCTGATGAAAGGCGCGGGAAGCTCAGGGTGACCAGGTAGGGTAGCCAGGCCTAGCAAATACGAATACAGGCAGTACCAGGGACACACTCATATTAAAAAGGTTGTTGCTGTTTATCTAAAGTTCGGGTTGAACTGGGCATCCTGAATTTCACCTGCAGCCCTGCAGCAGAAGCCGATCTCCCCGTGCAACGCACACTTCTTTCTCTCTCCTGTCCCAGCCCTCCCACCCAGCCCTGCCACCTCCACCCTGCAATCTTCCAAAACAACGGACAGAAATGGGGCACTGGGGACGTGGTGGCCCCAGGCATCCTGGGAGGTTGGTTCTTGCCCTCTGTCCTTCTGGTCTGGTACAAAGTCTACCGGCACCTGGCAGCTGGGTTGGGACTGGCACCCCGCCGCCCCCCGCTGCCCTGGTTCTTTCCATCTGGGGACCGCCTCTGACCTGCCTCAGCCCAAGAGCCCTCCAGCCTTTACAGGCAGCCCTACTCCCACCTGGACAGAAGGAGGGCAGAAACGCCCACAGGCCCTGAGCAAAGCTCTCTGGAACCCCCTTCACTTTAGTTCAGTGAGGTTTTCCCGCAATGACTAAAAGGCTTTCAGCAATGGCAGCCACCAGTCCAGCTGGGGAGAAGGGCGGTTTCTCATGGGAGAATCTCCCTCTCTCGGCGAGCACATCATCATGTTGCCTTCAGTGGAGGCTGGAGAGAATTGCTGCAAGGTGAGGGGTGAGGGGTCCCCAGGGCCAGTAGGGGTCTTACTCTCAGGGGAGACGTCAGGGAGAGGGGCCGGAAGGCACCCTGGGCGCCCCCAATCCAGGCCGCCTGGTGTTGCTTCTCAGGTAACTATGGTGTTTCCTACCATCCGGTGTGACAGGCCACCTCCCACCCCCAGGGCTGCCCGGCAGGCTCCTGGGCGCCCTGCTATTGGAGAAACCCCGCCAAGTGCCTGGGGACGGGGGCAGCAAATGAGGAACTGCTGGGTATTTTGCAAAAGAGGCGACTGGGTTATTAGACAAATCATTTTAAATATGCAACACCATTCGGGCTGCTGCAGAGTTCATAGAAATATGTTACAAAACCAAACAGAACATGGTCCCTTCCCTTAAGGAAGGGAGACCTTTGCAGCAGATGCAGGCAGCTCTCTGGGACCTTGGACTTGTGCCTGTGACGGTCATGTCCTCAACTGGCTGTGTCGCCCGCCCTGACCTGGCCAAGGACCCTTCTCCCCCGACATAACATCCATTCATTCCTTTAGTCGCAAAAGCTGATGTCCTTTTCCTTGGAACACGGACATTTCCAATCGAGCCTATGGTGTGGATTAGATTTTATTCTGCCAGGAAATTCTGTAAAACACAACCATGCCCTTGTTTATACATTGGGCAAATTTAGAAAAATTAAATAGGCGTTAGACCATCTTTCCGCCATGTGCCCTTTGAGTGTGTGCCGTCATTCACCCAGTAGAACATGGAGACTGAGATGAATGCCAAGGGCAAGTCCCCGCGGGGTGTCAAGCAGCCTCCAGGCCGGAGGAGGAACCGGGGAGGAAAACACAGGGGAGGATGCGGTCACAGTTGTCAAACCGAGGGAGGGTTTTGTTGTTGTTCTTTGTTGTTTTTCCCAGAAGGAGGAGATGCTGTCATGAGGTGAGCATAGACATGGGGGTCTGATTCCCCCACCCGTGCACTTGCACGGGTCACTTAGTCCAAATCAGCCCAGTTTCCTCGCGAGGGAACGGGGACCCAACAGTGCCCATCATCCCAGAAGTTGGTTGAGAGACTCCGTGAACCGCCCAGAACTAGGGGGCCTCCCTGAGGTTTCCTCCTCCTGGGGAGGACGTTTTCACAGCCTCAAATAAGCAGGGGTGACATACCCAGCTCACCAAACTGACACCTCACTCTTTGTTCACAGCCCATCTCCATAATTAGAACATGAGTTTCAGGAGGGCACAGACAGGAATGTCAGGAGGGAAAAGACAATGCCCTATTCATAGGTAATTGGCACTTGATAAATGTTTATTGGACAAGTGGCTGAAAATGGGAAAGAATGAATAGTTAAGGGCTACTGCCGCTGAGTGGCAGAGTTTTGTTCACACATTGGACACACGCACTTGGAAATCAAAGGATATCCTTATTTGCCTGGCAATTATGTAAATGTTTGCCCTTTCCCCAGAAGGGTTCTGGGAAGCAAGTTGAAAAGGGCAATAGAAACAATGCCACAGCTGTATTCCGAGGACAGGTATGGGCAGGTGTTAGAAAAAGAGCTACAGGAAGAGATCAGGCATTCAAAAGAAGGAAAGGGCAAGGCTCGGTGTGGCAACACCACCATTTTCTCAACCCAGAAATATTTGGAGAAGGATTTCCAACTTTGTGCTTTTAAAGCCAATTGTCATTAGTGAACCCAGACGTAAGACCTCACAAGTGTGTGTGACCGCGGTTTATGCTGAGCAACTGTACCCACGTCCCCACCTGCCCGCCCACGGTGCCCTCCAGGTTAGAATCACAAGGAAACATGGCAGGTTCTCTTCTTTGCAAAGGGGCCTGGAGGCCGGGCGGTCTTCTGCCTGTCATTTGGAGCTTACTTTCCCTTGTGAAAGAGGCGCATAGGCCGAGAGTGCCTACAATGTGTCTATTTTTAAAAAACTCTTGAACATGCCAAGTTGCATGGGATGCAGGCATCAAAAGTTAAGTGAATGAGATTAGAAGCCAGACACACCTGAGCGGGTGAGAAGCGTGGATCTCTGGGGAGGGCCAGCCCATGGTCTTAGACGTGGAGCTGGAAACGTCTGCCCCGAGCCGGCCTGGCTTCCTGTCCCTCTGGAACAGGCGTCCTCCTATTCCGTCTACAGTCCCGCCCTCATGTCCAAGCCTCATCAGCAGAGAGTACAGACCATCTCCCATCACTAGCCCTTTCTCCGAGGGCTCCGTGGGGAGTGGCATTTTCTGGAGAATGATTTGTCTAATTGCTGGCAATGTCACTTCCTTGAAACCTACTTGGATGGCCAAGGACCTCAGCAAACCATGCCCCGTCACACAAACATCTTGTCAAGTGTGTATCAGTGCTTGACGTGCCTCCACCACTAAGTTCAAACTCAAATTCTTAAAATAGGGATGATTAAATCCAACTGAATCTGCCTGCTTTTTTTTTCAATTGCCTTGAAAGTTCACTCTCAGTTTTTGTCTGGGCGCCTCAGAAGAAATGTAATCTATTATTATTAGATCATCACTATTATAAGATCATTGAAATGCCACCTTATATAAGAGGAGCTGCTTAGGGGTTTAAGCACCCCTTGAAAGGAAGCACGGGACTTTCTGAGAATAAATTAAAACATATATCTTTTCTCTTCCATTAAGATAAAATGCAAATGAAGAAAATCCGATTCAAACGAATTTAGGAGAAAGAGTAAGTTACTGGCTCTTGTAAGGGAAAACAGAGATGGAGTTGGCTTCAGGGACGGCTGGATTCAGGATTCAGATGCCCCAGCCTCCCCTCTCCCCGCTCCTCTCTGCTTCCCTCTATATCTGGACTCTGTTCTCTCCACATGCAGAGTGGGTCCCTAGCTCCACTAGAAAATCCTGGAAATGAACCTTGGCCACCTAAGGTCAGGTGGCCAAGCCAGTTGCTTGGTCACCTGACCAGTTGCTGCAACCGTGGAGATGATTGCATGAGAAGATGCCTCATGACAGAGAAGGGAAGAACTTCCTCAAGAGAAGAAAGTGCTGGGCAGACAGAGCAACAATTGTTTCTTATTAATCATGTCTCTTTACTCTGTATTTGATCTTTGATTTCTGGGGTGGACTGCCCCTCCCAGGGTCAGCCGATGCCTAGAGATAGTAAACAGCTCACCTGCTGGGGAGCCTTTCATACGCAAACCAGCCAAAACAGACCAACCACCTCCTATGAGGGGCTCTCGCACTCAGGCCACGACCCCTCTGCCCCCATCGCTCAGGTCCAGGGACCAGACAACCAGGGTCTGCTTGGTCTGCGTGGTCTCTGCTGGGCTCTCACAAGGCCACGGCCCCAGACAGGCTGCCCTGGGTGAGGAACCCTCCCCGTTCTTGTCACGTGAGTCCAGGGCAGCGGGCCTGGTCACGGCACCACGGTCACTCAGATGGTCACTCTGTCCCGCGCGGCCAGGTAGCGTGCTAGGTGCTGGAGACGGTCCCAGAAGAAGGTCTCTCCTTTTCCACTCTGTTACAACCTGTGACAGCGGAGAGGGACCCTTGGCAGCCACACGTTCCATGATACAAAGCGGGGCCCCAGGGCCGGGCAGATGGTCAATTATTCACTTTCCCTTGGGGGAAAGGAGATACAGTGGCTCTTTTTCAACCCCATGGAATTTTCCAGCTTCCAGTGTGGCTTTTGTAAGGTGTTAATTATTGGTTAGGGTCTTAGGAGATGTCAGCAGATCCGAGGTTGGAAGCAAGGAGTCGCGTGACGGAGGGGAGGGTGGGGGACCGCGGCCACGCTCCAGCCAGAAGACCGCAGGCTCACCCTCAGCTCAGCCCCCAACACAGCCTGGAAACTCACGTCCGAGAGCCTCCCTAAGCTTCGTCTTCCCACCAGCAAAATCGGGGTGATACCTCCCCACCTCACGGCCCAGCCGAGGGGATCAAATGAGACACTGGCTGTGAAGACTTTTTGGCAAACATAAGGTGACCCACGTTATGGCTGTTCATTGTGTGTCATCGTGAACATCACTGGTTCTCACTTTTGCCCCAAGCCTGCCACTGAGAATTATTTCCCCTGTGTCCCAGCGGGCAGCGTTAGCAGCCCTCTTTTGGGACAGGAATGGGGAGCATTGCAAACCTGAGGCTAAAGGCTGCGACCAGACTTGCCTCATTACCCCACGAGCCACGGAGGGAAGGAGGAGAAGCCTCCTGGACTTTCCTGGTGCGGGTGGAGACAACGGGGACCTTTGTGTTGGCAGGTTTCACTCGAGCATGTCCCCAGGCCCGTCCCGAGTCCCCATGTGCCCCTTCATTACGTACTTGCTCCATCAGGGCCTGTGGCCTCCGTCCTTCTTAGGGAAGGCTATTTTACTGGTAAGTTAGGGCCGCACGGAGCCACGACCAAGGCCTGATGTGAGCCACGTGCCTCGTGACCCTAACCTGGCCCAATCTTTTCTTTTGACAGATCCTTCTGAAACGTAATATTAAGAGTGTGCAAAGCAGAGGCTCACTCCCTTAGCTTGGCTGACGCCTGGTCAGTCACTCATGGAGTAAGGCCTACGATGCTCCCTGCTCCACGCGAAACCCAGGGTCGCAGGACATCCCCCCAGAGGTGTGGCTGGGCCCACGCAGCCCCGCAGAGCTCGGGGATCTGCAGGTAGCATTCGCAGGATTGCCAAGGGCATCCTTCCCACAGGCAGGGATTTGATCTCCTCTTTCCTAATATCCCAGGCCAACACAGTGTCTGGAGTTTTCTGTTTCCACTAAGCAGCTAATTAAATGGGTTGGCCAAGCGCACATTCTACACCTCAGAATCCCATCGCCTGCTGTGTGCTCCATTAGGTGTTTATTGATGTCCCATTAGTAAAACACGCACTCTTGGGAGTGTGAACCTAGGTGAAGATGGGAGTTTAAAACCACTTATAAATGGTCACGTCAGTGACGTGCAGAAGGAAACTTGGCCCTGGATGATGCTCCAAAAATGGAGCTGGGGGCTTCCCTGGTGGCGCAGTGGTTGAGAGTCCGCCTGCTGATGCAGGGGACACGGGTTCGTGCCCCGGTCCGGGAAGATCCCACATGCCGCGGAGCGGCTGGGCCCGTGAGCCCTGGCCGCTGAGCCTGCGCGTCCGGAGCCTGTGCTCCGCAACGGGAGAGGCCACAACAGTGAGAGGCCCGCGTACTGGAAAAAAAAAAAAAAAAATGGAGCTTTCAAGTCAGACAATCACTTGAATACAAGAGTCCTTAATACTGCATCTCAAAGGAAGCTTATAGATCCAAAGGAATGAGGGTGACTAAAACCTAAATATTGTACAAAAGCAATAAGTGTGACTAAAACCTAAATATTGTAAGATCTATTCCTTCTGTTTTTGGAGTTATATTTAACATGTCGAGCAGTTTCTTAAGGGAAATCAGATATGAGATCCAGCATTTTTCTTGCTGTGACTTGTAAATCTGTACTCTTAGAGCCTCTTCCTACTTACACCCGACAGAAAATAGCTCTTTGCCAAGAAACTACCGAGGCTGCAAAGCTGGAGAATGGGCAGCTAGCTGGCTCAGGACCTCCAGGACGTGGCTCCCAGCTGGGAGACCACCCACTTCCTCACCTGTTATATGGGGTAAGCAGAGCCAATCAACAGAGCTCATGTGAGAATGAAGGAATGTGTCTGTAAAGCACGATAGAAATTCACAGCCCTTCACTAATGTTGGTTGTTAGGAATAAATGTCTGGGCTGGAGCAGGGGATGCGGAGGGACTGCTTGGCGGGCAGGGGTCCATTACTCCTTCTTCTTAATTCACAACCAATGATTGGTCTGACAGAAGGTGAGAAGTGACATTTCTTTAATTTTTCAGCATGGGCACATTGAGGATAGCTTTAGCCCCTCGCATACCGGCTGTGGGGTCTGCACACAGGGCAGGTCGCTCTACGGACCCCCAGGCATCCTCACGTGCCTGGTACCTGGCTGGACCCCAGGGGACGCTGCACAGAAGCACGTCCTCAAGTTTCTTCTCTCTCAGCATAAACCAAATTGTCTGCTGCTGCGGCCAGTCCCTTAAGGCTTGTCAAGAAACAGTTGCGAAGCGTGAGGCATATTGAGCTTATCCCTTGGCAGAGAAAATCAATTCAGTGCTTGTAGGAGAAACCTCATCGTGTATAAGATCAGGTGGGTGAGCGTTTCAGTCCCTGTCTTTTCTGGTCTTTATTTTTCTCCATCAACATACATGCACGGAGGCATCCCTGTGTGCCTATAGCTGTCATTCCCTTTCTGGGTATTGAGTCCAAGTTTGGAGGGAAGGAGGGAGGGAGTGGAGAATTTTGCTTTCGATAAAGAAAGAACCCTGCTATCCTCCTGGAGCCTCACTCTCCCTGCCTCAGTGCAGGCTGTGCGGATGTGTGCGTCCAATTAGTTTGTAGGACGGGAGACTGAGAGGGCACCCGCTGCTATTAGAGATCTAAAAACATACGTGAACCTCCAACAATATATGCAGATCTTGCAGAGGTCTAAAACAGATGGGATGTTTGGGGTTTTAAATACATTTATATATTAAGAATATGCTATTTAACCCTTAGCCGCTATGATGATTGAGTGACAGAATTCAGAATGGTTATGTCCTCTGTTGGAAACCTGAATGTCGAAGATGGATCCAGGCAGCTCTTCCTGGAGAAGCATCCCAGACAGAGGTCAAAACACGTCTCCTTGGCTGGACCCATGACCACAGTCCAATAATGCAAAAGCCAACTTGTGAGATGTGTGCAGAGGTATTTTCTCACATTTTAACCAAGGGACCGAGGTCATTACGTATTTAGACATCATCCCTCCCTACTTCTAACTGTTCTTGCGATGGTTATGACATTGACCGTGCGTCTCATACATTGTCAGCCTTTACTAAGGGTCCATTAGGTGCTAAGCACACTGTGCTAAAGATGAAGTTTTCAAAGCCCACGGTTGTGAAGGGCTGGTGGCGTTTCACAGAGCCAGACATGTAAACATACGAGGTTGGGGGCGAGTGGGGAGATACAGCAAGAGTAAGCTGTGGCCTCTAGTCTGGGGGTGTCTCCACCAGCCCCCGGGCCCTTCTCCCGGTCCAGATGAAGACCTCCCATCAATAAATACCCAAACCAAGTTCAAATCACACCAGTACAGCCCAGCTGGTATTCCCAGCTTTCACTCACCCACACACACCCAAAATGAACATTTGATACAAATTCTCATTTACACATTATTCCTCACTTGGAGGCTGTACAATTTTTGATAGTTCTTGCTGCCAACTTAGATTTCCAGTAATTATTTTAATTTGTTACCCTGAGTCTCTAGATCTTCATGCATTTCCTCGGCAATGATCACACTGCCCCCCGACATCTCCCCCCCTGCCCCTGTCCGGTGAGGGGACTGCTCTGAGACACACAGATTGGTAAGTTTCCCAGGTAACGATTTGGTTTTTTTTTTTTTTTTTTTTTTTTTTTTTTTGCGGTACGCGGGCCTCTCACCGTTGCGGAGCACAGGCTCCGGATGCGCAGGCTCAGCGGCCCTGGCTCACGGGCCCAGCCGCTCCGCGGCATGTGGGATCCTCCCAGACCGGGGCACGAACCCGCATCCCCTGCATCGGCAGGCGGACTCTCAACCCCTGCGCCACCAGGGAAGCCCTTGGGGCTTTGAACATGGAGTCGCTGGAAGTTCACCAGAGCCGTCCCGCCTTGAGCCCTTTTCAGTCCTTTTCAATAGCGAGCGTCAGCATTCCTACCGGTCACACTCTTCTTAAGACCCCCCGACTCCCAGTGACACCCCGCCTCACCTCTCACACCTTGCTCACCAAACCTGCATCCCTCCGAAGGTCTTAGGCAAACTTCCCTCTTCTCTGGACTCAGTACCTTGAGGCAGACCTGAGATCACAAATATGCTTAATTCTTTTTCAGAGTCTCCGCCCTGGACCCAGCCTCCAGAAGGGCTTTAGCCACTGATTCACTTAGAATGCATCCAGTTGCCACCAAGACAAACTCATCTATCGGTGGCCTAAAACGTGAGGACATTTATTGCTTATTAACAAGTCCCAAAGCGGCGGCCCCAGGCTTCGTTCACTGACCCCACGATAGCACTGAAGACCT